AGATAATATGCATTCCTGTATTTCTCAAAAGAAACCTTTCATTTTAGTGATAAATAAAATTAAAAGACTTGCATAGGCAATGGAAAGAAGACATTAGATTGTAGAAGACTGGAAAAAAGTGGTCTGAACAGATAAGTCCACTTTTTTCTAGTTTCAAAATTTTGGATGAAGATAAGTATGATAAAAATCAGAAGAAGAATTTCATGAAAATTGCATTACATTGATGGTAAAATATTTTTCTCAAAGAATATTTTAGGTATGCTTTTCTTTTTTAAGATTAGGTTCAATTGTTTTATTTGAAGGTTCAGTAACTAGAAAATTATATAAAGAAGTATTTGAAAATTATGCAGTTTCTATACTCAAGAAATTTTTCTGATAAACAAAAAAAAATTTATTTTTTAAGAGGATAATGTACTGGTTTATATATTAAAAGTTGCAAGAGAGTTTTTACTTTCCCAAAATATGAAAGTACTCCTATGGTCTACTTAAAGTCTTAACTTAAACCTGATTAAAAATATGTGAGTTGCAGTTGAAGTAAAAATTCAAAGTCACAATTCTCAACCATTAAATATTTGTAAACTTGAAATAGCAGTAAAAGAAACATAAAATGTGATTTTGCTGAAGTGTACTGTAATTTAATATAATTAATACTAAATAGAATTCAGGTAGTGATCACTGTCAAAGGTGAATATACTAATATTAGATCCCAATAAATGTAATATATAAAAATAAAATTTGCGATCTTATTAAAAAATAAAATAAATTGATAAAATTTGACTATGCAATACTTTTGTTCTCTTCCTTTCTCTAGTATATTATTTTAACCTTTTAGTAAAAAATCATTTATATAATATTATTATATTATAGAAGAATTATTAAAGTCAAATTATAAATTATATAGTACTTCTTATTTTTTTATATACAACTAAATTCTTTATATTCTTTATTTAATTTTATTATTTTATCATAAAATTTATTAGCTGCTAAAAGAATCTGATAAAATATATATTATATTTATATTTAACTTAAATAAATAATATAAAATTATTTAGATTATATTATAAATATAAAAATTATTTAAATTATTTTTATTATTAATATTAATATAAAAAAAGTATAATTAGAAAATAAAAACTGTTATTAAATTCAAAATGATCTTGAAACTTTTTAAAATCAGAGATTTTATTAATTAAAGATTATGTAAACAAATAAAGAAACGCAATAATCACATGATTGAAAAAATTTTTATAACATATAGATATATATTATCTTTTATTTTACTCTAAATAAATAAAGATATATTATTAAATTTAATTAATTGTTGCTTATAAATTATATATAATTTTATTAAAATTCTTAATTATTTTTGATAATTTTTTAATAGTTATTTTTATTTCAAATAATAATTTATTAAATATTTGTTGATTTTAAAATTAATAATACTTATTTTAAGTAAATATAAAATAAACTTAATATATAAAAATAGCAATATTACGGTGAAAGTACTTTTATATATTTAAAATAATATAATATTTTATTTAATATTAATTAATTAATTTTATAAATTTAAAAAAAATAATTTATTTTTTAATCTTCTATTTTTAATTTCTAATCTAATAAAGAAATCTTTAAATATAATTTATAAAAATATATAATATGTAAAAATAATATGTAAAAATAATATATAATTATTAGTTATTATTATATAATTACTTAAAAATAGCTTATTTTAAAATATTTAACTAATATTATATATATATTGATTTAAAATTCTATTAACAAATAATATTTTATATATAAGTGTTTTATAATAAAAAAATAAGAAACTACTAAAAAAATTTTTAAGTTAATATTAAATTTGAATTTATTTACTAAAAAATAATATTTAGCTTATAAAGTAAAAAATTATTTTGATAGTTTTCTTTCTTTCTATTATAAAGTATCTATATATCTTTATATATAAGATAATTGTAAAAACTATATATAAAAACTATTGAAAAATCTAAATAATAAATATAGAATAATCAAAAGTCATAACACAGATGATTAAATTGATCTGTAAAAAGGTATACAATTATATATAGAATAGATAAATGTAATAAATAAAATTGTATTAACTTAAATAATAAGTGGGTAAACTAATTAATAAATTTATTAAGCTGTATAATATTTAATAGTCTTCTATTTATACTTCAAATTAATAATATATTTTATATTTAATTTATATAAATATTTTTAGTAATATAATAATAAGTAAGATTAATATTAGTATTTATATAATTTATAATTATAAAAAATTTATTTACTTCAAATTTATCAATTATTTTTCAATTTATTAAAAAATCTTTATATAATATTAATTAAATAAATTTCTAAATTTTTGATATAAAATTAATTTTTTGAGTTGTACTAGATAAAACTTAAAGATTTTGCAAAATTATTTAAATAGTAAAAGGTAAATTATATTAAAATTTTATTAAAAAAATCTATTAAATTCAAAAAAAAATAAATCTATATTAAAGCTTATAAAAATATAAAACTATATCAAAACTTTAGTAAAAATTAGAAAACTAAAAGTTTAAATATTTTACTAAATTTAAAATAAATAAATTTAGGTATAATTGATATAATATAATAATAAAATAAATATAATTATTTATTTAATTATTAATAATTATAATTGTAATTATTTTTGATTATAATATAATATTTTATCATTAACTTTTTAATTTTATAAAGAATTATAATATAAAGTATATATCACAAAATTTTAGATTAATTATTTTATAAGATGATTACTTATCATATTATCAAACTTGTAGATAAACTGTATTATATAGTTAGCTAAACTATACAGTCAACTCTTGATATAGCGAACTCTTGATATAATGAATTTTTTGAACAAATATAATAAAAATACTCTTATTATAGCAAATTGGCTAATTAAATCTCTTAAAATCTTCACTATAGTCTTATAGTGAAATTGAGATATAGGACATAGAGTTCATTATAACAAGAGTTAACTGTATTATATAAAAGTATTTCAACCACTTATAACTTATTATACACTTTTTTAATTTTTAATATTTATTATATAATAAAATATAATTGGCTGAAATATTTAGTTTGACTAATTATATAATAAAATTTATATATTTTTTATATTATTAATGAAATAATTGATCAATAAAAATAAAATCATATATATTATGTAATATAATACAAAATATAATATATCTTACAAATACTAAAAATATAGATAATCTACAAAATTTAACTGATCTTTTAAATATCATAAATAACCTTAATTCTATAAATTAAATAAAATCTAAAAGTATTTGATATATACTTTTATTATATTTCTTATATTATTATAAATTAGTTAATTTATAACATAATAAATAGTTAAATTATAATAAAAAAAATTTTATAATATAAAGTCTTTTATTTATATATAAATTAACTAAATACAAGTTTTAATATTATTATAAAAGAATTAATTAAAACTTATAATTTTCTGCTTCTTTATATTTTAATGTAATTCTTACACAAAATTTATAACTAAATTTAAATTATCATCTAATTTTCTAACTAAAGTTTTGATAATTTTATTTTTTAAATCTTTATACTTGATGAATTTATTAAATTTAGCATATAAACTTTGTAAAATTAAGAGTTAGACAAATTCTAATATTTTAATTACAGTAATAGTAATCTTAAGTAAAGATTTAAAAATATATTTAATTTGAAATAAAGAAATCTATAGTGATAATTGTTAATTATAACAAAAAAAAAAATAATAAATATTATAATTTATAAGAATAACTTATATAAAAATAATTTATATAAAGATTAATTTACATAAAACTAAATTTTTAATGTTAAATTTTTAAATACTTATTAATAATTATAATTACTTCTTACATTAAAAATCTTTCAGATAAAATTTTACTATTAGTAATAAATATGATAATTTAATATTTTTGTAATTTAATAAAGAAAGATCTATAATAATATATGATCTTAAATATGAGCGTTTTGCAATAGAAAGGGAGGAAACTATCCTGAAAATAAAAAATGAGTTTTAGCTAAATTTAGATATGTAAAGTTTAGCAAAAGCTACATTACGGTAAAAAGATCAGCATCTAAAAATAGTATGAGTCAATGCTTATTAATTAAATAGTTGATCAGCATCTAAAAATAGATAAACTTCAATACAATAAATTTTCTTTGTAGCAGAAAGGTAGGAAACTTCATGGAAAAATGTTTTTGCGAATTAGAATAAATTTCAGCACAAAATATATACGAGATGCACAAAATCAGATATGATTAAAATTTTTTTCTTTTTATTTTTATTTTTATTAGTTGTTGATATAATTTTTAAAAAAAATAAAAAGAAAAATACTAACTAACACTTACCTTTTTATAGGTTCTAAAGTTCTTCAAGTCTTAGAATCAAAGGTAAGTTCAGAAAGGGTATGTTAGATATGTTTTTAAAAAACATAAAAAAAAAACTCATATACTTACCTTTTTGTAGGTTCTGAAGTTCTTCAAACCTTAGAATGAGGTAAATTCCTTAGAGAGAGGGAAGGGTATATTAGATTTATTTAAAAAAAAGAAAGAAAAAAAGGAAAGCTAACTAATGTTTACCTTTTTATAGGTTCTGGAGTTCTTTAAGGTGTTGAGAATAGAAGCTAACACATTAAATATATACGTTTCTTCAGACATTTTATCAAGGAGCAAGTTAACACCTTCCATTAATTTTACCCTATATAAAGTTGAATGCATTAGCATTACACTTATCAATAAAGATCAAGTAAATATATACTCACATGTGTCTCACAAAATTCAACGTAAAATTTTTCTTGAATGAAGAAATATGGGAGGTTTACTATTAAAATCGAATTACGAACATAATAAATCATATGATCTGTAATGTGATTTTAATAGCTTACCTCTCATATCTTCATTCTGTTTAAGTTTCTCAGTTTTTTGATATTTCAATCGATAACATTATCCAATGGTAACTTAATATCATGCTCTGAATTATCTTCTGTTTTTTCTTCCTTTCCTCTTATATCATTGAGCATCTGTTCAACGATATTTTCATCCAATGTCCCTAAAAAACCATCTTTATTGTAATCATTGAAAAATATGACATCATAATATTCCAGTCTCGTCTTTGGCGGGTTATTCTTCAACTGATATTGTGTTAGATTTTCTCTAACACGGATTCCGTTTATGATCCAATCAGTGCTTTTTCTACTAATGATTGTTTGATCTGCATTATATTCGTTCTTCTCTTCTATGTCTAGGTCACGTTTTGTTCCTTGTGAACTGACAAAAAAGGGATTCAGTTCTGGTCACTTACGAATGTGTGTTGGAAAAGTCTCGTAGATTGACATTTCAATTTCTTCATCATCTTTCAGTGCAATATGTCATTCTGGTGAATAGTTTTCACTAGATGCTAAATAATCATTTTTCTTCTGAATAAATGTTACAATACCATCAGTAATATGTTGATGAACTTTCATTGCTAATTCTACGTGATTCTGAGTTTAGGTAACCTATAGCATAAACATACAAACAATGATTTGGTATAGATATCATAAACAATATGAAAAAAATAAAGTGATACCTTAATACGTTCTATTTCAGCCAATTCGATAGTTTTTTCATTTTCGATCAATTCTAACTTTTACAATATCTCAAGCTATTCGAAATACTTTGTTGTGCTTGTGAGGATCTCCAAGTCTGGTATCGTAAAATATGAAAAAAATGATTAAATCTGACCAATAATACATAATCAAAAATCAAACCCTCATTGTTTTAAAGAGTATAAAGGGCCATGACAAACTAATAGTTCAACACATAATAACTAATATTTCTAGTATTTCCACAGGAGGCTGAAGAAAAGGACAAACTAACAATTGATCTTCTAGTTGACTAACAATCCCCTGGCTCAGTCCATATTTCCATTACCTCTTCAGATTTATAGCAACAGAAACAACTTCATGATGTATACAATCCTATTATAGATATGTAATTCATATATAATACACCACCTGAAATTTCTCGTAAAGATCTTTTGCCTTTTGCCTTATGTCCTCCTTATTTAAATTGTTATTAACAGTCTTCTCAAATCGTTTCTTTATGTGATTAAGAATCTTTCACTTTATCATCTTTGAACTGCTTATATGAGCCGTATCAATTAACAAAACTGTCAAGATTAGTAATTTGTAGATAATCGTCTATCTCAATAACCTTCATAATAGTTTCAGAAACGCAAATGTATCGAACTTGACCCTCCTTGTGATCCTGTCTTGACCCTCTTGCCGATCTTTTGTAAAAACAATTGTTATTTATATAGTTATCGGCAAGAGGGTCAACTTAATACCACAAGAATGGTCAAGTTCAATACTTTTGTTTTGAAAACAAGGAGGGCAATTTTACATTTATCTGTACTATACCAATCATATATACTATATTTTATCAAAATTTAAGCACCCCTATTTTGTAAAGATTTTAGGTGAAAAGTTTGAAGTGATGCTTAATTCACATGATAATTAATACTAGCTAGCCAATAATTTTGCTGTCATATTATTACAAAAGTTATTTATAACAATAATAATTATATACAGTATATACAATAAAAACTTCAATTTCGCCTATTACTTCCATTTACTATTTTTACTTATATGAAAAACTTTTAATATACCAATCTTTTTGCCTATTAAAAGTAAATTTCTAATTTATTTTGAATATTATTAACTTTAGAAGTTACAAATCATGCTAATAGATCTTCTTCTATACTGTTTAATGAACCAAACTGTTGTTGATAATTTGATATATCACGCAATAACTGTTGCTGGATCTATTTTCTACAAAAGCTGTTATTTCGCTATTAGTTCAAATTTTTAATATAAAATTTTTAAATATTACAAAAAATACCTAATATTTTTTTCATTCAATTGAATATCAATTTTTTGTGAATATTTATAGTTTCTGTGTGATTAAGTTCACAATCTTCAGATTGTATTTCATTCTTTATATCAAATTCATCATTCACGTTTTTATCCATATCAATATGCAATCAATTGTTATATGAATAGAATAATAATAGTGGTATCAGAGATCCAATTTGAAAACATTCTTCATAATATACATAAAGTGACTTCCATAATTATTGTACCACTTCGTTTGTAATTTTTAGATTGTAATAAATAAAAATTTGATGATCGAACGATTTGCAGATTTAATTAATGTATTGTTTAAATCTTCTTTTATAATATATTAAATTTAAATTTCTTTTTATTTATAATTTTAAAAAAAAATTCTTTCATAACCATAAATTTTATAGTGTAATACTTCTGACGTATATAAAAATAAAATCAAAAACATAAATTTTTCAAATTTTTTTTAACAAACTATGCTCTAATTTTTTTTAACAAAACTATTACCATCTCGTATATCCCTTATTAGCCTTAAGTATATCTTTAACTCATTGTAGCATAGTATCAATTAGCTTTAAACAAAATTCAGCATCAATTTGATTCCATACTAATTGTATCTTATTCTATAAATCTTCTGTACTAGTAATATTATCGGGAAGCTGTCATAAACAATGATTAATTTCATTTCACAAATGTTCAATGGGTTTAAGTCTGATGATTGTGCTGTCCAATCTAAAATTTTAATATTATTATCATCAAACTACTCGTATATTTTCTTTGTTGTATGTTTTGGGTCATTATCCTGTTAGAAAATGACATCATTTACATTTAAATCACATGCGCTAAGGGTCTCTAAAAACTTATCTCCCAAAATTTCTCTATATAACTCTCCATCCATTCTTCCATCAATTTTACAATACTTTCCAATATCAAATGAACCCATACAGCCTCATATCATTACAGAAGCTCCACCAAACTTTATAGTTGGTTTAATATGCTGTGGTTGCAAAAATAAATTTGGATCTTTCCAACACCACTTTCTCCTATCTGAGCCAAAAATTAAGAATATACTCTCATTTGACCATACTATTTTTCGCTAATCTTCTATAGTCCAATTCTTATATTTTTGAACAAATTTTTTTCATGCTTTTCTATGTCTCTTGAGCAGCAATAGTTTTTTTTAACTCTAGCTACAAGACCTTGCTTTTTCAATGAGCATTGAATAGTATTTGGTGAAATAACAATATTTTCGTTGGAAATTAAAGATTTTTGAATTTGAATAACATTTGTACATTTACCCAACTTAATAAGCCTGGCAATATTCCTATTATGATATTCTGTAAGTATTCTTGGGTGGCCTGGTTTTGGAATAACATCAAAGCTGCCTGTTTCTTTTTTTTTATTTAATTCTTATTACAGAAGCATGACTTATATTTTCGCGAGAAGCAATTATACGACTTAGTAAATATGTTTCCTTTGGTGAAGTAGAATCGCTTTTATAATATATTTTTTTTAAAAAAAAAAAACAAAAGAAAGGCGTACAAATTGATCTATTGATTTTAATTTACTTATATGTAAAAAACACGTCATACAATCATAACTTTATTATATTAATTTTGATTCCAAAAGTATTGTATCATGAAAAAATTACATATAAAGAAATTTTTTAAAAAGCCACAAATTAAATAATACTCAAATTTAAATATATTTAAAATCTGATTATAGGCTTTAAATTGGTTTAAAATTTTAGCCTTATAGTCATATAATTATTCAGGTATCATGATCTAAAAATTAAAAATGAAGTGGTATAATAATTATGGAAGTCACTATAGCTGCATATAGTACTTTTCTATTCATATTTATAAAATTAGTGCAGTTAACAAAACTTTTCAACATTTGGAAATATTACTGAATAATAATCAAAAGCAATATACTGTCAAAAAATTGTGATTCTATATGAGAAATAATAGTAGGTTTTTTTTGTTAACTTTATCCTCAATTTTTTCTCTATTTGACCATTGTTCTTCTATATTTTATTCAAAAAATCTAAAAGAAAAAGTGCTGTTTTTTACTAAATTATCAAGATCTTTTTTTATATAAGTAATCATGTTTTAGTATAAAAGAAGTGATAAATAGATTATCATATTAAAAATAATCCAAAAATAAAGCATTATGCTTTAACAAATCAGTTATTAATACTTTTACATTAGTACAGTATATCATCATAATAGATTATGAAAATTTTTTACAAGATATTCATCAAATTTAATCAGAAAATTTTTTAAGGTACAGTATTAATAATAGGATGCTTACATTTTTTTCTAGTAATTAATATCTGATAAAATATAAGATTTTATTATAACTATGCTAATTAAATCTCTTTATTATAGTTATAAATAAAATATTATAAAAATATACTCTTCAAAATAGTTTTCTCAAAATAAAGTGATATAAATATCAAGTATAAAAGATAGCAGCAGGGAGGGCATGCAGACTAATTTATTTTTCCCTAGACGCTTAAGAATGATAATTATCAAAATATGTCTCAATCTTATTTTTAAAGCCTTCTAGCTATAAGAATCCTCTATTGAATTTAAAACTCTAGCCCAAATTTAAGCTTTTCCCACTATCCAAATATTTAGTATCAAATTATTATTAATTTACACTATCAGATACCAAGAATAAAACAATCTTTTATAGCCTTTCTAGCCCAATTTTAATCCTAAATAATATAGCAAAAAAAATATACCATTCTGTTTGGATTCGAGACAATGCGAGATTGGCAAGAACTAAACCTTCTATGTATAATAATATTTATGCTATTCTAGAATTAATTCTAAAAGGGATTCATTATCATCTAGCAAAGTAAAAAATTTACACCTAAGCAGATCACTTTATTTTTGTCTAAGAGCTTAAGAATGATAATTATCAAAATGAGTCTCAATCTTATTTTTAAAGCCTTCTAGCTATAAGAATCTCCAAATATAATTCTGATATAATAAAAATTTACACCTGAGCTGATCAAGCAGGAAGAGCGAGCAGACCTTAGATAAAAAAAAGGCTATTATAGTATAAAAAAATTCAGAATAACATGATGCAAAAAACAGTTAACATGATGTAAAAAAAATCGGTTAATAAGATGTAAATAAAAACTTATCAGCCAAGATAATCTAGCTTTACTAATCTCCAAAGAGGCTAAAACCCATATTCTCACCATCTGAGTCATAAATCCGAGTTTTAAGAATATTACCAGAAGTAACGATTCTAGGTTGAAGGGTTGTAACCTCATCATTGGGCTCAAAAATTAGAGCTTCAACTCTAGTATCTTCTGATTCTTCGTCCATGATTAGAGCGATAGTATTAGTTACCTGTAGTGCTTCAATCTGTTGTGAATCCTGCTCTTCTGCTTCTTCAGTTTTGTTCGCTGACAGCTCTAGAAGCAATTCATTAATTTTCATCCAGATTAAATCATCAGTATTAGCTTTAACCTGAAGCCTATTAAAATATTAGGTTATATAATAGGTACCAGAATGCTTTTTACAAAGGTCGGGTTCAGAGCTAGTCAGCTTGTCATAAACCTC